AAATGTTTCCATTGAGTAATCAGATGACAGTCTAATTGGTGCTGCCTTGTAGGTAACTACCTGCTTTTTCTCTTGAGGCTTTTAGGATTCTCCCCTTGTCTTTAAGCCTTGTCACTTTAATTATGATGTGTCTTGGTGTAGGCATCTTTGGGTCCAGCTTGTTTGAGACTCTCTGAGCTTCCTGGACCTGTTTCTTTTTTTCCTTCACCACGTTAAGGAAGTTTTCAGTCATTTCTTCAAATACATCCTCAATCTGTTGCTTACTCTTTCCTTCTTTGGGTATTTCCATGATGCAGATGTTGTTATGCTTCATGTTGTCCAAAATGTTTCTTAAGCTCTCCTCGTTGTTTTTTAATTCTTTTTTCTTTTTTGCTGCTCTTCCTGGGTGTGGGGTGTTTTTTTTTACTTTGTCTTTCAAATCACTCATTTCATTCTCTGTTTCATTTAACCTACTGTTTATTCCTTCCAGTATATTATTTATCTCAGATATTGCATTCTTTATTTCTAACTGGTCCTTTTTATGGTTTCTGTGGGGTTTTTTTAATGCTTTGCGTATCCTTATAATCATTACTCTAAACTCTCTATCTGAGGAATTGCTTGCCTCCATTTCATCTAGCTCTTCCTCTGGAGAATTCTCTTGTTCTTTCATTTGGGGTCTGCTTCTTTGCATGTGTTTCTATGTATTAGGTAGATCTGCAAAGACTCTGGTGTAGACTTTTGTCCGATGCTGCTTGTTACTGGCCCTAGTCAACCTACTCGAAGCTATCAGCAATCCAGAGCGTGTGGCTTCTTCTGCTGGGCCTGGGTGTGTGTGGATAGAATCAGGCTGCACACCAAAGCCGGCTTTTATCAGCACAGTGCCCTCGTGATGGTAGGCTGACATCTTACGGAGCTCCCAGAGATCCACCCTAGTTGTTAAATTAATCAATGATTTAGCCTCATGCTGTAATCATCAGCCCGGCTGTAGCTCTGTAGGTGGGGTAGAGTAATTCCTGTGGGCAGGGCTATTGCTTCTTCTCGGGGTGATACCATTCAGACAGGAGTGCTCTGCCTGAGAAAGGTGGCTCTGGCAGTGTGGGAAATGACGTGGCACAGGGATCCTGGTGGCTGTTCCTTCAGTTCTCTCCCCAGTGCAGCCAGCCCCAGACTCTGTTCAAGCATCTCTAGTCCACTCTGCCCCCCTCTGCTGGAACCTAGGGCAAGTGTCCACAAACTTTTATGCACTGACCCTTTAAGAAGCTCTGTAAGTCTCCTACCATCTCTCCCTGGCAGACAGAAACCCTGCTGCTCTCACAGTTGAATGTTATTTGGGTTCCTTTCCAGCTCTGGTGCTCTAGGCTGGGGAACCCAGCTGGGGTTTAGACCCCACACTTCTCAGGGGGAACCCCCTGGCCACTGAAATATCCCTCCAGATCTTCAGCTGCCGTCCTTGGGAGCCCAGCCAACCCTCTTGTGCCTCTTCTACACTCCCTCTCAGTTTTATTGTAGTGAAGTGGTTTCTTCTCTCTGTCCTTGGTTATAGGGCCTCTCTCCAGCTAGTGTTCTGTTGGTTGTTCATAATGATTTCTCTGCAATTTAATTGTAATTCCAGATTGGTCCTGGGAGGAGGTTAGTGTAACTTCCACTTATATCTTCACTGTCTTCTATCTGAAAAGTGCCCTTTCTTCCATGGTCCTATACCCTTGATAAATTTATAGCCTTCAAACATTTCTTTCCTGGCTTTATTATTCTGACTGAGAAGTCGTAATCCTTTAAGTTTGTGTTCTCTTCATTATTGTACCTCCAGTCTCCCCAGATTCTCTTAATTATTTAGATCACACTTCTCTGAATGTTTTTAAGTGCTTTTAAATTGTCTTATTGGTAGGACCCAAATGACATCTACTTTTGCACTCCAGATGGTTTTTGTACAATAGTAAATTTTCCAATTTTAGAAATACTTTTTTAGATCCCAGTAGTTTTCATTGAGCACAATTGAGAATTCAGTTCTATTGTGTTTCGTTGTTCTTCTCTTTTTATTTTTGCTTCTGGTTGTGACATTTTTACTTGGAAATGTTCTGATTCAAGTATATTTACTTTTAATCAACAGAAAAACATCTAATCATCCCATGTAATTTTATGACAGTTCACAAGTCTTAATCACCCTGCCATAAGCCATTACAATCAAACTAAATCTTACAACCAATACTTTGTAGGACTGTTTATAATGTGATCAAAAGTATATTATTAGATCTTGTTGAGTATATTTTGTCTCTCTTTTATATACATTTTTACTTGTTTCTGATTTTGGAAATAACATAATTCAAACATTTTTCTTCAGCCTCAAGACATATCATTTCCATTACCCCTTCATACTCCTTTCTTTTTTTTGGAATACAGAAGAGGATAGAGGTTTTTTTTTTTTTGACTACTCTTTATAGTTAACTCTGAAGAGTCTCCGAATTATAAGAAGTGTCACCTGACTTAACAACCAGTATGAAAGCAAAACAACTTCTCCGAGGGAGCTGCACAAATGAGTGCTGATAAGAATCCCAAGAGAAATACTGAAATGTTTAGTCTGTTTTCTCGTGACTTCTGTATTTTTGATTTCTGTGAAGTGTTTACAAAACTGCCTAACTGACAAATAATTAAATTGGTGTTAAGAACATTTTCTAGAAATAGAGTGACTGGATTAGGAATCTCCAAACTGATATGGTGCTATTTTTAAATAATAGAAAGCAAACTAGAAAATAATTTACTCTAAGGTCTTTTTGCAAGTCCCTTATATTCTCATATAGCCTATCCTAGTGCCATGCATATACAATAAGTATTCAAATATCTGTTAAATGATTACTGTTCGTAAAATGTGATTTGCTATTATGGCATTTAACATGTATTCTCCTTGTTCAAAATTAGGAGATTTATGAATCTCTGCTCAGCAGAGAGCAGTAGAAAGAATGAAAATAAGCATTGGTGACTCATCTTAATATTTCCTTGAAATGTGTTTACTCATTCCAGCCTGTTAATATCTGTTGAATGAATGAAAATTATTAAGTGTGTTAAGTCTCTATTGTGGATGGATACAGCAGATAAAAGAATAGTCAGGAACAGAGAGGTTATTTATGTAGTAAAGAAAATACTGTGTGTTTCATGGTGTTTTGCACAGGTGTGCACATAGACAAAGGGATGGTAAAAAGCAAGGCATGTCATAAGATTGTTTTTGTTTGAGGATTCAGGAGTCCACAGAGCATTTGGACAAATCTTAAAGGTTAAAATTAATGGAGAAGATATTCTAATAAGCCAGAAGAGCATAATCTGTTTTATTTTGAACTAAATTTTGTAGGGGGAATTTAGATGGGTTATATAAAACTCTCTTCCAACAAGTCCTCAAAAATCTTAAAAGAAAGAGAAAAAGCATTTACTAGTCTTTATGTTGGTCTAAATGCATGTATACGAAGACCTTCATAATGGCTCATGGCTATGATGCTTTTGCTAATTAATTCTAAGTTTAAAAAGTAAATTCTAAAAAGCATATGTCACTATAAAATCAAAGTAATGAATGATATAAATGATAATATAAACTGAGATTAAGAACAATCAAATATCTCAATAAAATATCTCATTTGTTTTTATTATGGAAAAAGATACTCAAAATTTTTTAACTTGAACTATTAGATAAGATCATTACTAAAAAATTGGTAAAATGTAGACCAACAACCACCCCAAAAAGGAAAACTGTCCATTTAAAACATCCCCAAACCCTATACTCCAGCTGTAGCCCTCTATTAAAATAATAGTTAACATTTTTGTTGTTTGTCAATATTTCTCACTTTATTTTTTTTAAATATTTTGTTAAGTGCTTCTGGGCTTTTTTCCTTTGTAAATATATATTTATGGATAAATATATATAAACATAAAAATACATAAATGTTTATCCATTTTCTTTTTAACAGCCATAGGAAACAAACTGATCTATATGTGTGTTTGCTTCTATGTCATTAAGTAGAGATTAATATAATTTTTAATGATTGGATGCATTCAACCGTGTGTTTCATATTAATTTAGTTAACCAACAGCCTTTACAGATTTAGATTATTCCCCAATTTCTGGACTTGGTTAGCAGGATCTTATATAATATATCTTCACATTATTGTGTAATTATTTCTTCAGAATAAATTCCTAGAAGGGGACTTGCTGGTTTAAAGAGTATGTACATTTTTAAGACTTTTGATAAAGTCTCATTTTGCTAAACATCCATCATGAATTGATGTGTCTATTCATGTTTTCTCTACAGCTAAACCCAAGCAAAATTCTTCTCTGATCTTAAATTTTGTTTTTAATTTTTGTCACTCTAAATGAGGATATATCATTGTTTTATTTCACACTTACTTGATTATTAGGCTGAACATTTAAGATGTTTGTTGACCATATATATATTTGCATATGACATGTTCCTGTCCTTAGTTCATTTCTCTACCTAGTATTTATTCTCAAAAATATGTACTGAATAATTCACACACACACACCCCAGATGCACACACACATAATCAGTGTCTTCCTTTCTGCCTCCTTCTCTTCGATTTGGTAGCTTTACCAAACTAAAAAATTTCTACAGATAGTGTAGCTCCCTAGATTTCTTACCTCTTTCTGTCTATTCAGTATCATACATTAAAAAGCAATTGAACAAATTTTTCTTCCACATCTTACTTTTTCTAAACTATATATTCTCACACATACACTTTTCTAGCTGAATTTTACCATCATTTTTTCAAGCTCTCAGAATCCCATTGCAATTTGAGGTTTTAATTAATTTAAAACAACATCTTAAAATACTCTGTTTTCCCATTGAAGAGTGTGTGTGTGTGTGTGTGTGTGTGTGTGTACATATATATATTTGAATCCTTACTTTTTTCACATAGGATCTAATGTTTTACTATTCAGTTCATTTCTACTTTTTGTTTTGATTTTTCTTTATTGCTTGGATTTAGAAGTGAACAATTTGAATATTTTTCTTTTCTCTTAAGCTTTTGTCAGAAGTGATAAACCCAAGCTTTTCAGAGGACTACAAATTAAGGTAAGGTGATTTTAATGGAATGTCTTTTTTTTCCAGCATGAATTTATTTCCTTTTTGGAGTTTGATGTCTTACAGAATGAGGTCATGTTTGTGGTCGCATTTACCCAGATTTAGTATTTCTCAGCACTCTCTGGTGAAATACGGACCCAGCCGGTAGGTCAGAAGTTTCAGGAATCTAGCCTAATTTTAAACTAATCACAACAAAATTATATTAGATTTCTTAAACCAGAGAAAAGTTTTAGGGTCCATTGAAGAATTCTACCAGATAATTTATGTAGACAGCTTATTTTAGCATTGATTTCATATAATTATTCTCTCATCAATTATTTTGAACTTATCTGCTTCCTCCATGGGATTTTAAGCTCTTTGAGAGTCTGACAATACCATGTATGCAATAAATATTTGTTACAGTCAATAATAAGCTTAAATCCCAAATGAACTATGTTGTGCTAACAGGTGTTTTTCTCTTTAGAGGTAAACTGTAATTTTTTTAATAGTCATTTTTCAATGAAATTTCATTAAATTCTTTCCCAAAGACTTTAAGACCTGTTGTGATGTTATGTCTAAATGCTTTTTTGTACTACTATTAAATTTAGGTAAGCTGGATTGCATTGGTTTGATTTTGGTTGAGGCTGAGAAGGCTCGTTTAAGCAGATAATAATGATGATGCGTCTCTCTTTTTGTAGTATGTCCGTGGTTCAGACCCTGTACTGAAGCTTTTGGATGACAATGGGAACATTGCTGAAGAACTAAGCATCCTCAAGTGGAACACAGACAGTGTAGAAGAATTTCTGAGCGAAAAGTTGGAACGCATATAAACCTTGCTTGAATTGTATCCTATCCTTTTACTGCCTTATCAAATGAAATGTTTCAGCACCTAGAAAATAATTTAGTTTTGCTTCCACCCTTTGATCAGTCTTTTACTGTGAGGTATTAAACATCTAATTAAAAGTTAAAGTAACAGCACAGCCCTTGATATCTAAGGACTTGGCAAGCTTAACAAAAGTCATGTTTTATAAATTTCTATCCCCCTACAATTGTTGATACCACGAACAGAGTGCTTTGTAATAGACTTGTGGTTAATTATGCAAGTGGCAGTTTGTGATAATTGGTCCAGTTTTATGAACAACAGCTTTTTAAATGAGGGAGGTTGTAAGAGAGATGATTACTGCTATGCTTCGTGTGCTGTGTGCTCTTTGAAAGTATTTACGGTAAACTACAAAGCAAATGAGATATGCCAAGCCTCAACAGATTGCTTGATCCTCAGATTCTCCATATTTTTGTATTACCCAGCTTTCCTTTTAATAGAAATGCTCTAGTACATACATAATGAATGAACAGCATAAGAAACTTTATGGCTTTGTTATTGTGAAACAGATTTAAGATCTACTGTAACAGTGAAATATTCACCAAGAGTTGCGTTAATGAGGACTACACAGAAAACCCTTTTGAGGATTTGTGTGGATCTGATATTTAGCAAGTTCTTGTGTTTTACATTCTTACAAAAAAGCCAATTTAAAAATGATCATTTGTAAGACCAGAATATAAATAAAAAGTTTCAAAAAATGACACGTTTCTCAGTGTACTTTTATTTTCTTGTCATATAAGCCTTTATTTTCCCTAGAAAAAATGTTTGCTGGCCGCACTGGTGAAAACTTATAACTTCTTATTCTGGGTAATAGTGTTTTATGTTTTTCTAGCAATTTTTTATTTGTCAAGTGCTCTTATTTATGAACACACTTTTATTGTTATTTTACATAAATATCTCAAATTAAAGAATTTTTATGAGCTACTTAAAAATATAGAATGTTTATGAGCTATTAAAAATTACAGTTTTGGGGGAGCATTTTAGATCTTGCTCCCTGGCAAATATCATCAGTTTGGCTTAAATAAACTCTTATAAACAATTTTTAATGATTATTTTTCTTCACTTAACCTTCTATCTGGTGAAAGTGACTTCACTTCATAAAAGGTAATTCACTAAGAACAACATTCATTCACTGACTTTAGGTCATTTCAACTGCTTACTAAAAAGTGGGTCAAAAATCCTGTTATGTACACTTAATGTCAGGATAAATTCTTATAATCTGGAAATCTTAATCTTTTATTTTGAATTAAACCATCTTAATGAAGGATATTTGGAAGTCATTAAAGACAACTCTACCAGAAAACACTTATAAAATGCTTATTTTAATAGAAATTAGTTATTAGTCTTTACTAGCATTTTTTGTTGTTATAGTTAAAATTAACAAATATATTTTTAAAGCCAGCAAGAGAATAAACCAACCCTGGACAATCTGGTTAGTCAAAATACTATAAGTCCTTGGCAAACAGATCATGGTCCACTTGTGTTCATCTGGAGAGTAATGGCAAGGGCCGTCGTTTTGATACTGCAAGGCACTGGGTAAATTGGCAGTAATCCTTAATAGTGGTTATTACTTCAGAACAAGAGGGGAGTAAAGCCAGTCATGGACAGTGGAAAAATACCAGGAGAGGAGTTGCTACCACATAGAAGAACAATAGTGAGATTGAAGGGATAAAACTGCAAAACTTAAGGGATTGGCACAGAAAAGTAATTGGACTGGTCTCTAGGCAGGAAGAGCTTGTTAAATGAGTATTGGCATTGGAAATTTTTCAAAGAAGTGAAGAGAAGGCTAAAATGTCTACTATATTCAATTTATTGTGAGAGATCAAAAGAGGCTAAAGAACCCCACAGTATCTTAGAGCTTGAAATTTTTGAATAAATGTGTATCTGCCAAGTTTCGCAATTGTAATTGGGAGGTTTGAGTTAATCAGCCGACTCCAACTCTTTCACCAATTTCAATCAAAGAACAGCTAAAAGCTTTTTAAAAGAAACAAAGAAATCTTGGTTACCAAAAAAGGATATAAATACCAAATCAGAAAGTACCATTTTGTAGTCAAATTCTGACATTCAATTATGTGTATTCAAGTTCACAGATGTGGATGTATACTAGTCACTTGACATTTATAAATTTGATCCCTCTGCCAAAGTTGTTACTTATAGCCTAAAACAGCTAATTTATCTCTAAATTTCTGAATTTGGCAAAAGCCTCTTATAAGAAACTATGAGCAAGAGCTGACATTTCCTGTTATAAGAGGATTTGAGGCTTGAAAGCTAGTCTAAAATTAATAAAGTGCAGAAAATATTTTTCAAAGCAAATACTGCAAAACTTTGGAAATTAAAATTAGCAGCAGCTAGTATGTGAGAGCAGGTCTACAAATACATGAGAAGTAGGAGTACAGATTCGAGATGAGCTCAACCATGTATTTCTTCCACCCGAAAATAAAGTACCTTTTAATTAAATTTTGTGGTGGCAAAGGACTTTTTCTGGGAGAAGAGTGCATTTGTGTCTAAAAATTCAAAACAGACTTTTGCTGATTAAATACAAACATTTTACCTTCAAAGTGCCCTTGACCCAACCATCAGTAACATGAAATATGGTTCTTTAGAAATATTGAGGGAATTAAACTAAGAGTATTTGTGTGAAGCCTCTAAAACTTGCCTTTGCCATTCTTTTCTGTTAACCACTCTTGAAACTTAAGTACAGCATTTTGTCTATTCAGTATCATGACAACATTAAAGTTTAGAACTTGAAATTCAAAACTTCTTAAAAAATATTTTTGGTAGTAAAAGTAAACTACAGCTGATCCTTATTGGTGAATTCCATTATTTACATATTCACCTGCTGAACCATTAAAACTTAATTGCAAACCCACAATTACAATACCTGAGGCACTTTTGAGATCATTAGTGCACGAGACCCACGCACACAGAGCAGCGAACCCATGCACCCAATGCCTGCCTTCCCAGCCAAGTCCAGGTCCAAACAAGGTGACGCTGCCTGCTTGCAGCTGTCATGCGAGAAATAAATGAGTATCCTTTTCACAGCCTATTTAGAGCCACATGTTTAGCATTTTTGTGCTTTTTCTTGGTGATTTAGCTATTTAAAATGGTCCCCAAGCACAGTGCTAAAATGCTATCTATATTCTCTAAGCACAAGAAGGCTGTGATGTGCCTTATGGAAAAATACATGTTTTAGATAAGTTTTGTTCAGGCATGAGTTACAGTGCTAGTGGCCATGAGTTGAATGTCAATAAATCAACAATGTATTTGAAGTAAGGTATCTTTAAACAAACACATAAAGCGAGGGTATATATGGAAAGGCTGACAGTACTGTTGTGAACAAAACTCCCAGGAACCCAACCTTGTATATCCCCTGAGCAGAAAAGCTCAGTATTTGCTAATCAGTGTTTGCAGCAACTTTATAGAGCTTAGTTAACTACCCTGAGTACTGAGAATTGACTTTTTTTTAATAGAGATGTAATTTACGTTTAAAATTCACCCAACAACTGAGTGTTTTTTTTAGTATATTCACAGAGTTGTGCCACCATAATCACAGTCTAAATTTAGAACGTTTTCATCACCCCTCAAAAATTCTGCACCCGTTGGCAGTCACTCCCACGTTTCCTGTTCCCACCCTTAAACAACCACTGGTCTGTTTGATCAGCCACAATATGTGGTCTTTTGTGTCTGGCTTCTTTTACTTTCGTGTTTTTAAGGTTCATCTATATTATAGCACATATCAGTACTTTATTCCTCTTTGTGGCTGAATAATATTCCTTTAAAAATGACCATACTATGTTTTATGCATCATTTTGGTAGACATTTGAGTTGTTTCCATTTTTACTATGAGTAATATGAATAACACACATTGATATACAAGTTTTTGTGTGGAAATGTTTTAATTTATCTTAAGATATATATCAATAACAATAATGAGACTTCTAGTCAAGATGGAGGCATAGGTAGACATGCAACTACAGATAGAATTACAATTAAACCTCAAAACAAGTATCAGGAACCGTCAGAAAATCAAACTATGGAAGTCTGACAGTCAAGGATTTAAAGAAGCCACATTCATCCAGACAGGTAGGAGGGGCAGAAATGCAAAGGGGCAGAGAGGCGAGGAGACGCAGTGTGGCACTGAGAGCTGGTGGCAGCAAACAGGCAGACCCACGTCCACCTGTGGCGGATAGAAATCAGGAAGGACACCTTGGAAGTGAGCTATCCCAGCCCCAGGGTTCCAGCACCAGGATTATAAATCCTCGTAACTTCTGGCTGTAAAAACCAGTGGAGATTCATACAGTGGAAGAAACTGGTGGATTTTCAACAGATTCCACTTAAAGGGAGTGCATGGTCTTAGAATGTAGGCCAACCCACCCACTCTGGGATTCAGGACTAGGGCAACAGCTAGAAGGGCATCAGTCACATACAAGGAGCAGGTGAAGTGACTGGAATCGGAGCAAGTGCCAGGCAAACCTCCAAAGCCAGGCAGTGGCATGGTCTCCTCTCCCAGCCCTCCCCATACCCAGCCACAAATGGGTAAAATGGGTTGCCCTGCCTTGGTGATTACCCAAGGCCCTGCCCCACACAATTTACAGGTGCCATTTCCTCAATAGGCCGTGCTATTAAGACGGAGTCAAAGCCCCTCCATATAACACACAGAAACAAATAGAGGGAGGCTGCCAAATGAGGAGGCAAAGAAATATGGCTCAGATGAAAGAGCAGAGCAAATCCCCAGAAAAAGAACTAAATGAAATAGACATAACCAACCTATCAGATACAGAGTTCAAAACACTGGTGATCAGGGTGCTCAAAAAACTCACTGAGTATGGCAACAGCACAAAGGAAGAAATGAAGGTTACACTAAATGAAATAAAGAAAAATCTACAGGGAACCAACAATGAAGGGGAAGAAGCCAAGATTCAAATGAACAATTTGGAACATAAGGAAGAAATAAACACTCAACCAGAACAACAAAAAACAAAAGATGTGAGGATAGTGTAAGAAGCCTCTGGGACATCTCCAAACTTACCAACATCCAAATCCTAGGAATGGCAGAAGGAGAAGAGGAAGAGCAAGAAATTGAAAACTTATTTGAAATAATAATGAAAGAAAACTTCCCTAATTTGTTGAAGGAAATAGACATACAAGTCCAGGAACCAAAATGAAACCCAAAAAAGTTGAACCCAAAAAAGGACCATACCACACACATCGTAATTAAAATGCCAAAGGTTAAAGATAAAGAGAGAATCTTAAAAGCAGCAAGAGAAAAGCAGAGAGTTTCCAACATAGGAGTTCCCATAAGACTATCAGCTGATTTCTCAAAAGAAAGTGTGTAGCCAGGAAGGAACTGATAACAAGTATTCAAAGTGATGAAAAGCAAGGACCTACAACCTAGATCACTCTATCCAGCAAAGCTATCATTTAGAATAGAAGGGCAGATAAAGTGCTTCCCATACAATGTGAAGCTAACATAGTTCATCATGACCAAGTCATCATTACATGAACTGTTAAAGGGACTTTATTTAGAGAAAAGAAGATCAAAACTATGAACATTAAAATTGGAACAAACTCACGACTATTAACAACTGAATCTAAAACAAACAAACTAAGCAAGCACCCAGAACAGAAACAGAATCATAGGTATGGAAATCATTTGGAAGGTTACGAGCTGAAAGGGGGACAATGGGGATAAAGCTACAGA